CGCTTTTCAACTGTTTTGCACCGCAGCCTTGAGATTTGCGCGTTAAACTGAGAAATGACGTATCGCGGTCGCAATTCCTCAAGCACTTGATTTATTCCCTAAGTACCAAGTCGATTCCATCACGAGAAACACCAATTCTTGAGAGGGTTTATCAACTGTTTTATGGCGCACTGGATTTCCTGGGAAATTGCGATTTTCCCGATTGTTTGTCCTTGAAACGCGCGTCAAAACTGACAGACGACGTTCATTCGCACGGTTCGTTTGTTTTTCGCTTGGCGCCGGATCGCGGTCGTCGACTGTTTTGATTGCGGGGAGCTCTCGATCATCGCCCGTCCGCGTCGCGGGCTTCGTTTGTTTTAAAGGAGGCTCTCGCGGCTAACTAGATGGAAATGCACGAACCTTCGAGAGAGCCGGCGGTCTGGCACGCAGAGGTTTAACGCGAGAGTGACGAATGAATGGGATCGGTCACCGGAGCGCGTGTAAATTGCGTTCTACGTGTGTTTGCGTATGCCCGCTTGTTTGTCGAATGCGTTTAACTGGCTACTGCACGGGGGCGCTAACAGCTCCGAGTAAATATACGACGCGGCGCTCTTTGATTTTCATTCGGAAGGTCGGGCTCCGATCGACGGAAATATTCTTAGCGTCGCGGATAGGGTAAAAATCGACAGTGTGCGGCGTCCTTTAGCGAATCTCGTTAAAACAAAGTAATTATTTAGAATGGTGGAAAAGGCTGAGGTCCTCGCAAAATTTTTCCTGCCACCCTATTCTAGAAGGTGCCGGACACGAATCTGGATAAATTTTTTTCGAGTTCTTTTCGAGAAAATTGGGGAATATTCGGCATTTTCATGAGAATGTTCGAGAATAATAAAATTTATTAAAATAACATTAAAATTCTTAGATTTTATGACAATTAAGTGTAACCAATAAGTCCTGCTTGATGAAATTTCCCAAAAATCAATTTTCGAGTATTTTATAACACTAATCGCATTACCATTTCGTGACGTCATAATGTCGAGTTCTCCCCCTCCATCGTTGGTGCGTCATCTTCGGAAATAAGGCTACTAAGTACCGTAAATTTATTTCTCGGGGCAGCAATCCGTTTTTGTTTCATTTCAGCCTTGTTTGAGGTGATATTGAAAAAAGAAGAACTTTTTCTCATTGCCACTTTTTGCCCTCTATCGAATGGCATCATCAATTTTTATGTGTAACGTTTCGTCTCTCCAGGACTATCATCAACTTCATTTTTTTAAATACGACCCTATAAATTTTATTCCATTTTTTGTAAGCCTTTATTACCTCCAATACTGTACTGCCTTAACCCGAACCCGATTCAGACGTTTTGTCTCGAAAAATTCATCTTCAGTGTATTCCTTTCAAATTTATCCAATTTTTTTATTTAGATTTCATTGTTTATTGAATTATCGTACACTGTAAGTGGCGTTAGACCCTGTCAAATCCATCTAATTATTTAAACTATTACCAACACGCGTTACAATAAATCATTTATTATCATTAACTATTACCATCGCTGTTGCGTCAAAATTAAAACATTATTACAATTTTAATTTTATTATGACAAAAAAATTCTTAAGAATGCATATGAACAAACAAAACGCCAACTGAATATTATTCTTTAAAAAATTTCAATAGACGTTCAATAACATTTTCGTTTTGGCAAAGGTTGAAAATGAAGATCAGCGTAATATTATCGGAATTTATTATATCTGTAACAGCAACTGTGAAAGAGCATATCAGATGTATTTGCATGAATATCCTGAAAAAAATAGACCGAAATTTGTTTGAATTTTGAGCACTCAAGAAGCCTAGAAATAACTATGGACACGGGAATAAAACGTTAATAATTTTTTATTTTAATGCGTGGTGGTAATAGTTTAAATAACTAGATGGCTTTCTCAGGGTCTAACGACAGTTACAGTGTACGATAATTCAATAAACAAAGAAATATAAATAAAAAAATGGAAGATTTTGGAACGAATACACTGAAAATGAATTTTTCGAGACAAAACGTCTGAATCTGGTTCGGGTTGAGGCAGTACAGTATTGGGGGTCATGAAGGCTTGCAAAAAATGTAATAAAATTTCTAAGGTCGTATTTAAAAAATGAAATTGATGATGGCCCTGGAGAGACGAAACGTTACATACAAAAAAGTGCGAAAAGTGGCAATGAGAAAGTGTTCTTCTTTTTTCAATATCACCTCAAACAAGGCTGAAATGAAACAAAAACGGATTTCCAAAATTTCGTTTTTTTTTTCAAATATTTCGAAAACTAATCATGTTAGCCTTGATTTTTTAGAGGCATAATGTTGGTCCCCTGATTACGCAACTTTGCCCCCATTTAAGCTACTTCGTACTGTACCGTTTCCGAAATCCCTGTAGTGAGAAGCGAATTGCGAATTTGTAACAGCCTGTATACAAAAAAAAAAAACTTAATCTTACCTAACCTAACGTAGATTAGGATTAGATTTTATATTGAATTTATTTTATATAAAAAAAAAAACATAAATTTATATACAAACATTTCTGCTAGTTAGGTTATGTCAAGTTAAGTTTTTTTTATATAGTAATATCATTGACTATACAATTTACAAACTTAATAAATATCTGCAGTGTGCTATGTTAAATTTGTATATTCCTTTTCGATCAGATATCATTTTTAATTCCTTTGCTACCCCTATAAATAAATTTCCGAGACTTAGTAACCTTATTTCGGAGAATAATTGACAAATGACAAAAAGAGAGGGGATATAGATTATTGACACGTCACGTGACATGATAATGTACCAATTCTTGTAAAACATTTCTTTCGACGTTTTCTAGAATATTGCTGACTCGAATATTCCTGATTCGAGTCGATTTGGTTCGAGATTCGTTTCGAAGACCTAGAAATTTCTAGAACATGAAAGGGTGTATACATAAGCTTACAGCCTCCCACCAGACTCTGTTAACAGTGCCCAGAGACAGCGAATTTACTTTGCTTCGAACTGATCAATTATGTTAGGTCAGGTTTTTTTTATGTAAAACATAAAACAAGGCCTGTATCATAAAAATGGGACGATAATGGTCAACATTTATCAAGTTACGTGCATGTAATGCTTTAAATGACATTTATCTACACGATGATTCGATTGTTTCCATAGCACACTTGACAATCTAGTTGGAGCTCGAAAATTAACATTTACGAGTATTTTTAGTCCAAACAAATTACACTTAGAGGAAATAAAATTGTTACTGGACTTTTATAAGTCCAAACGGTAAAGGGTAAATTAAACTATTTTTGTGGAAATGAAAAATAAAAAGCGAAAAACAAAAGAAAAACGATTTTTCGCATTTTTCTCGGAAATTTTGAGGTGATGTTAATAAGTAGCCTCTACAAAGGTAGATTTTTGCATGATTTACAACTTTTATATGACGTACTTTTTTTTTGATGTCAACTTTCGCCGATAATCGCAATTGACCCTTTTTCAACCGCCCAAATCAAGCCGCCACCACCTCCGCTTACGCATTTATTTTTTTTTACGTTTATTACAAGACCCTTTACTATTTCTACTTATAAAAGTCCAGATTAACAATTTTTTCTTTTTTCCCTCCAAATGAGTTATTTCGACCGGTCTATTTGCGTATTTTTCCCATAAAAAAATGTTATACCGAGGCTGATACTATGCGCCAGCGTGTAGTATGTTTACAACCGTTAATTCTCTTTTGTTTTAAAAAAATCGACGAAAAATGGCGGAGTTACAGCTTGCGGTACATCTCCACTTGTTTCGCCTCCGTTTTTATTAAAAACAAGTCGCCCAGAGACCGATGTTCGGATGTTCTGCGGTCAATCGCGCTTCCTTTACACTCGACGAAGCGCCGTAAACATTTCCAAGAAACAGACGGCAGAGCCGCCTGCGACTGATCCCGGCACATTTTTCATACCGAGGAATGAAACAACCCTCGCCCGTAAGGCGTTGGCGCAACAAAGACGGCTATTCCCCGAGGGGGTTGCCGCCTCGTTAGGCGCCCGCATGGCACCGGTGACGGGGCAGGAAAAATAACAAGCGCGGGCGATATTTCAGAATTAAAATTGGGGCCGACGAATCGCACGCACCCCTCGCGTGATCTCTCAATGTCAACAAGGAAAACTGATTAGGCGGGTGGTGTTTTTTCTCACCCCCCGTTTTTAAAATAAACTTGTTTGGGGCGACGCGCCGTCAGGGATTAGCGTGCTTTGAATAATTCATCTTAATATTATCTTTAAATAATTATATAGTTTTGAATTTAATGTGTAGCATGTTTACCTGAAAAATATACACTTGGCAACGTTGCAATTTTTGATATTGCGACGTAGGTACCATTTTTCTACTAAATAAAATAAATATGTGCGTTCTTTTACTCCTACCTCCTACCATCAATTAATAGAAATAAAATACAAAAGAAATATGGAAAATATAAAAAAGTGACACAAAAATATGAAGACCGATAACTTTTTGATGTCAAGTTACTTTTTTTTTTATGGAAACCATAGCTGGCGAGGTCTAGTTAAAAAGAAAATTTTGAAAATCTGTAGTATGTCGTATTTATATTAAAAACAAAAAGTGAGGTTAGAAGGGCAGCAATTTATGTTTTTCTAAATTAAAGTAAGCTGTGACTAAAGACCAAACTCAAAACAAATGCACTGAGAAACAGAATATGGTGTCACTGTTACAAGCTGGCTATGGGCAAAAACAAAATTATAGTCGGTGAAATATCGAAATCGAGACAAATTCATTTGAAAATGGAGAATATCTTTGAAATTTCCGTTCCAGACATTCTATTTTTGCTTTGAACAAAAGTATTTGTGTGATATGTGAATAAATAATAGTAAAAAATGTTGTAACTCAATAAAAAAAAAGTGCTGTCGTTAGTGTTTAAAATTTAAAAAAATTGCAAATGGAACTCGCTAAAATACACAAAAAAAATGCGGTGAAGACAAAAGACGCATAAATACAAAATTCCTACCTTTCTGGTCCTCCGCTGCCTCAGCTTCGCCCTAACATTGCCCTTGTTCGGTGCAGGTCCGTCCTTCTTCCCGTTCTTAACGTTTTTCTCTTCCTTCTTCTCTGCCGTGGCCCTAGTCCTCATTCTACTGACGACCCTCTTAACCTCCTTAACACTCCTAGCACTAACCTTATTATTCGAAGGAACATCACTTTTAGTCGTCGAAACAGTGTCATTTTTACTTGAAACGGCTGCGTTATTCGAAACTATCTCGCTCTTGTCCGAGTCACTGTCTGAATCGCTGGAAGCCGCGCTCTCGGAACTTGAGCTGGTGCTCTTAGAGTTGGATTTAGCGGGAACACCAGGTTTGCCCATCGTTTTGTCGCCAGAGGGACTGGCAGCTTTACGAATTGTCGCTATGGTTAAACGGAGACCGTTCGTCTGTGATGTCGTTACAGAAAACTCGGGGCTGGGACTCCTCGATGACGATTCTTGACTTGAAGTGGAACTGTCGGAATCCGATGAATCCGACTGGCTACAAGACTGCGAAGCATCGGTACCAGAATTCTACAAAATTAAAACAAAGTAGTACGATAACGGTAGATTAAAAGGAAAAACGTACGCTAGAATCTGCATCAGAATCACTGTCAGAGTCGCTGTTGTCGTTATTTTGGGTCGTGTTGTTGGGCTCAACGCTTAAACTGGTGCTGAAGGCAGCGATATCCACAGTACTTGGTAAATCTGTCTCTTCAGGCTCATCTGCTGGCTGGTGGACCACAGATGACCACCCAGGGAATAATTCTGTACTAGTGGCATCATTTCCAGCCATTTTTGTAACTTCTGCAACAATAATAACGGTTATTTTTTAAATTATAGGGTGAAATTTTCAAACTGATCAATAATTGGCGCCAAAACAAAACAACAAAAAAACAATAAAGCTACGCCATGTTTAACTCAATTTTAACGAAGTACCGGGGGCGCACGGAAAGTGGTCCCGGTAAAATCAACTTACTGGTTATATAAAACAAACCATATTCTATCAAGAAATGATAAAATAATGCAGCTAATTCCTATAATAAAAGTCTATTTCCATGTTTATGTTTCACTTTATAAACAAGATGGCCACCAGCTGATTATGATAACACATTTTCTTGTTTTCTTGGGACACGCACAATTTTCTCCGCAAACTCGATCCTGCGATACATTCTTACACCGATCTTTTGCCGTTTTAACGCAACAGGGCACAATTTTTTTTTTATTTATCGTATTATATTCGAGATGTCAAAGTTGCGCAACAGCGTCAAGTTTCTTCGGTAGAAAATCGTGACAATGTGACCAACCTAAAATAAAATGCATAAAAAGTGGACGAGTAACGGTATTTAAACTTTTTAAAAGTCATTGGCCGGATCGTGTGGACCGGCACTGGGAGCCGAAACAGTTACTATGGAAGATTTCTGCCAACAATGAAAGTGTTTATTGCCACAAAATATTTTTTTATTCTTAATTAATAACAAAACGTATTCTCCTTCCGCGCCATCTATGCTCTAGAAATTAAATCACTCAAACTATATTATTTCTAGGTATCATTTGTAGGCACCTACCCTAGTTTATCGTTTAACAGTGACATTTACTTCAAAACAACTGTTGTTACATTGAAGTTAGATAATTATTTATTATTTTTCTCATTTAGAAATGTTTATTACATTTTTAATTTTACTGAAAGTAGTTCATTGTGCCGGATACATAACGTTAAGTTACGATGTAAACTCCACAAAAACCACAAGTTTTTACCATTTTTGGAAAAGTACTGGTTTTTGGTAAGTATTTCAAGTAGAGGGCTCATGTCATAAACATTTAAATGGACTTTTAACTTCTTTTTAATCAAGGACAATAACAAAAGATGGCAGCATCAGTCTAGTTTACAAAATACAACACATTAATATTCGTCAGCGCCATCTGTGACAAATATTTTAAACTGGTAGGAACAGGAAACTATTTTAATCAATAGTGCGTGTTAGTCGACTTGCGCGTACCTGTAGATGGCGCTCAAGTAGATTATTTCAAATTATTATTCAATAAACGCAGTTGTACACTGAACAAAATTGTTGTAGCCCGCCAGATCCTAAAGAAGATATTCCAAAATTCCTTCTGAGCAATGAACAAAGACTGAACATCGCGCTTCTAGGTGCATTGCCTAATAATGGCTTGACACACGTCAGGATTCACTGGTTACTGAATCTGCTGACTCAGTGAGTTTGATTTATCCAAAAATGTTTCTAGATACTATTTAAATAATTTGATATTGCTGTTTGTATGTATTTTTTTGGATTTTAGGTTTGAAGATGAAAAAGCGTTGAGCGTGTACAATTTCACTTATATGGACGTTTTCCTTTCACATTTAAATAACCACGATCTGGCGCCAGGATTTGAATTGATGGGATCTTCGAATCAGTTCATTAAATTTGAAAAAACTGGAGAATTTTGGAGGAAACTTGTCAAAGAAATCGTGAAAAGATATATAGGTACAGCAACGCCAATAAAATATGCGATACACTGAGAGATTTGTTACTTTTCAGTCCAATTTGGTGTCAAACGCGTGTCCAGATGGAAATTTGAAACCTGGAATGAACCAGATCTGAAGAGCTACGATATCTTGAATTTCACACTATCAGGTACGTCGGACCTCCAAACACGTACCACAAAAAGAGTTGAATTGCATGTTAAATCGTTATGAAATATTAATAAATGCAACAAATGCAATAAATGAACGTTTTGCAGAATACCTGGACTACGTGGTGGGCTGTTCCTCAGGCCTCAAAGAGGCCTTCTCCGGGACGAAATCTACGTGGAAACTGGGAGGTCCGGCGGGATTGTTCAGAGACAAAGACCATCCCCTGTGCTGGGGACTCTTAGAGGCCTGCAACGGGGTTCTCGGGGGGGACAGCTGCCCCCTGCAGTTCCTTTCATTTCATAGGAAGGGCGGGGGCAGCTCTTCGGGGGTGCTGGACGGCAGTTTCGAGCTGCTGGACTTGATTCGCGATCGCTTTGCGGGGTTAAGGCATATGCCCATCGCGAACGAGTAAGTGATAACATTCAATTGTTTTTTTTGTTTATCATATACAACTTAGAGACGAGAAAATGTCCTAAAATGTATCATTCTAAAACGTTATATTGCGTAGAATCTAAAAAAAAGCATCGGGAATCTTGTGCGTGAAGAAAAAAAATCACATATACATATCCCCCTTCAGCCCCTGTGCGGATTTTGAATTCTGATTCCTGCTGTGCGTCTATCAAGTCGCAACTTAGTTATAGTATGCTCAACCACATGTTATTATCCTGCGAATGCCCCGAATTATATGCCGCGCGCGAAGGAAATTGGATTATCCTGGTTGTCCCCAGACTATTCAGCAGCTACGGCGTTGTCGTTAATTGCGTCTGCTTCAGAAACCCGAGACTTAAAAAAGCTTGCAGTGAGATTTTCCTAAAGAATAGTAAATAAATTTTGTATGACGTGCGAAAAAAACTACAACATATGCTCAATTTTTTGATGACGGAAGACACGTCAAGAAAAGGAAATAGTAATACGCAAAAAACACTCAGACACGGTCCAATTCCAGATACCAACTGAATTGCGTAATGCTGGACAGCTTAGTACCTCGTGTTATCTGCCGCGCCGCTGTCACATTGCTCGATATGAATTTTATCGAATTTTAAATTTCTACCCTCTGTTAAAATTAAGGCAGTCTAACTTTGAACACCCTGTACTTTCTAAGTTTGAAAAACAAACAATATTTAAACAAATGGAAATCCACCCTATTAAAATGATTAAAATTATCTCTAAATATCACCACGGGGAACGTTTTGGGCATCAGCCAGCGGCCCCACAATAGTTAATTGGACAAAGTCGCGCTCTCAAACGGGCAATTTAATTTAACGAGAAAACATGGCTCTATCAAAGGCAATAACCGATATTCGGAATTCTACAAATTGCACAAATACTCTCTCTATTAATTCGGAATCGACCGGTTCCAGGCGCCACCTCGAGCTAATTGACACATGAACGTATACTACATTCGCGATGGCAAACGACGCGCGCTAATGTATACTCCATTCGTGAAGCGGTTAGCTTGTATTCATAAATTGATGCTGTACTCTGAAAAAAATTACACGCCTTTAACATACACTCGTTACAGAAACTAAAAACAGCCTACTTAAATACGTCACAAATTACATACGTTAGAACTGGCATATAACGTACATTAAAACGTAACATACACGCTTTTAACGTACTCTAATTTATAGGAATTAATAATATTACCGTCTTCTAACAACTAAGTTTAATTAAAAACGCAACAAATTATGTAAATTGCAACATCCATGTAACCTACATCAAAAACTTAAATATAACGTACACGTTCCATGTAACGTACGTCAAAGACTTAAATATAACGTACACGTTTTATACGTACACTTGGTTATAAGAATTAAGAACGTTTCCTTCTTCTAGAAGTTCACTTAAAAACGTTATGTAAATAAAAAATATTCACATAATTTAGATAGATACGTTAAGAACATAAATATAACGCACATGCTGTAACGTACATTTAGTTATAAAGATCAATAACGTTATTCTCTTCTAAGTAGTAGACACACTTGTATACGTTACACATTGCATATAACGTACATCAAATTTAAATGTAACGTACACTTGACTTTAAGAATTAAGAATGTTCCTTTTTTTCAACAACTTAGCTAAATTAAAAACGCAACAAATTATGTAAATTGCAACATCCATGTAACCTACATCAAAAACTTAAATATAACGTACACGTTCCATGTAACGTACGTCAAAGACTTAAATATAACGTACACGTTTTATACGTACACTTGGTTATAAGAATTAAGAACGTTTCCTTCTTCTAGAAGTTCACTTAAAAACGTTATGTAAATAAAAAATATTCACATAATTTAGATAGATACGTTAAGAACATAAATATAACGCACATGTTGTAACGTACATTTAGTTATAAAGGTTAAGGACGTTCTTCTCTTCTAAGTAGTAGACACACTTGTATACGTTACACATTGCATATAACGTACATCAAATTTAAATGTAACGTACACTTGACTTTAAGAATTAAGAATGTTCCTTTTTTTCAACAACTTAGCTAAATTAAAAACGCAACAAATTATGTAAATTGCAACATCCATGTAACCTACATCAAAAACTTAAATATAACGTACACGTTCCATGTAACGTACGTCAAAGACTTAAATATAACGTACACGTTTTATACGTACACTTGGTTATAAGAATTAAGAACGTTTCTTCACTTAAAAGCGTTATGTATATAAAAATATTCACATAATTTAGATAGGTACGTTAAAAACACAAATATAACACACATGTTAGTTATAAAGGTTAAGAACGTTCTTCTCTTCTAAGTAGTAGGCACGCTTGCATACGTTACACATTGCATATAACGTACATCAAACTTAAATATAACGTACAATTGACTTTAAGATTTAAGAATGTTCCTTTCTTTCAACAACTAAGCTAAATTAAAGACGCAACAAATTATGTAAATTGCAACATCCATGTAACGTACGTCAAAGATTTAAATATAACGAACACGTTTTATACGTACATTTGGTTATAAAAATTAAGGACGTTTCCTTCTTCTAGAAGATCACTTAAAACGTTATGTAAATAAAAAATATTCATATAATTTAGATACGTTAAAAACATAAATATAACGCACATGTTGTAACGTACATTTAGTTATAAAGGTTAAGGACGTTCTTCTCTTCTAAGTAGTAGACACACTTGTATACGTTACACATTGCATATAACGTACATCAAATTTAAATGTAACGTACACTTGACTTTAAGAATTAAGAATGTTCCTTTTTTTCAACAACTTAGCTAAATTAAAAACGCAACAAATTATGTAAATTGCAACATCCATGTAACCTACATCAAAAACTTAAATATAACGTACACGTTCCATGTAACGTACGTCAAAGACTTAAATATAACGTACACGTTTTATACGTACACTTGGTTATAAGAATTAAGAACGTTTCCTTCTTCTAGAAGTTCACTTAAAAACGTTATGTAAATAAAAAATATTCACATAATTTAGATAGATACGTTAAGAACATAAATATAACGCACATGCTGTAACGTACATTTAGTTATATAGATCAATAACGTTATTCTCTTCTAAGTAGTAGACACGAACTAACAAATTAATGTACGTCAAAGACACATTTAACGTACACTTGCTTATAACGTACCTTTTTCTCGAAAATAAATACGGACAAGTTTGAATTTTGACATTGAGCACTCATTCTTTGTTTTGCACCGCACCAATGTAATTCGGCGTGATTTTTTCTCTTTTCTAGAAGGTCTCTAGATACACCCTGTAACTATGTAAAAGACCAATGCCTTCCTAGCCATCCAGCTTTGATAAATCGCCGCGTCATCGTTTTAAAAACTATTAATTCAAATCAGCCGACGATTAATACTGATTATATACCGGCCATTGCCCCCAACAACTAAGGATGAGTAAATTGCGACTGCCACCGACAGACAGAACCGGCCGGGCGTTCGAGTTCTGATTGATAACGGGTCGCCTCATAGTTTAATACAATCAGAGGTTTTAATAATAGTTTCGTGGCGAGTGGTTTGTACCAACAATAACTTTTACGAAGGTTCTTTGTTCGTATAGTCTGGATCCACAATGAAAGATAGTAATAAATCGTTAGTTTCTCGTTATTAGTGTCCAGACTATTCCTAGATGGCGATAGTCGTCACTTAAGTTAACCTAACATGTCAAATTTAAGAATCCAAGACTTTAATTTAGTTGTAACACGTAAATATGATTGAGTAATAAAAAAACGCTACGCAAAAACCCATTTTTCTTTGCTCCATTTCACGGCGTTCTTCTCCGGTTAAATATTCGAGGCGTGATTTGTGCGAATTTTCTTAAACCGGCCGTAAAACCGAATTAAGCCGTAACTCTCGATTACTTGCAGCGAGGCCGACATCGAGAAGAACTGGTCCAAATCCCTGGGATGGAGGGCAGACGTCAGATACGCCGCCATGGTCGTGCGGGTGGTAGCGGGTTATTATAAATCAATTGGAGAGAGGAGAAAATTGAAAATTGAGGTGTTGAGCAACGATAACGGCTTCGTGAATTATCATCCGTTCTATTTCACCCAGCGGACTCTATTTGCGAGGTATGCCTAGCTGTGTAAGGGTCCCGTCGCTATTCGATGTCCTTTCCGCTTTGTTGAATAAATCACACTGCGTTTTGTACGTTAAATTTATCTTTTACGTGATGAATGCGAAGTGAAAGCTTTATTTACTATTCATAAAACCAATGTCACATAGTATGTACGTTAAAACATGCATAATTTTAACATACAATTAGTTATAAAAATTAAGACTGTTCTTCTCTAAAGCTCCAGAAAATATGTACGTTAAAGCTTACATTTAATATACATTCGAATTCAATATAACGTATGCTCTTTTACGTAAACTTTATTATAAAATTTAATTTTGTATCCTCTGATTACTTAAAAACATCACCTGCATATTATACTTGCTCAAACTTAAATATAACGTACGCTTTTAACGTACTTTTAGTTATAAAAATTAAGTACAGTCTCGCTTCTAAGATTACAGATTAGGTTCACTTAAAATTGTACATTATGTACATAAATGCAACATTATGTACGTTAAAAGTTGCACTTAAATATAACGTACACGCTTTTAATATACATTTGGCTATACAAATTAAGAACTCTCTACACTTAAAATATTAGACCCACTTAAAAGCTTCACAAAACTTACATACAATATACGTTTAAACATAAATATAACGTACACCCTTTCACCAAACACTTAATTATAAGAACTGTGTTCTCTTCTAATGTTTCGGACTACTTAAGGATTTCATACATTACATACGTTAAAACTTGCTATAATGTTTGATTATACTTTAATATAACGTACACATTTTTAACGTACAGTTGATTATAAGATTTAGTAAGTACATTCCCGCCTTCAAAAGACCTAAAGAAAAGCTCACTTAAAAGCAACCTATAATATGTACGTTAAACCTTATTACATAAATATAACGTACACCCTTTCACCAAACACTTAATTATAAGAACTGTGTTCTCTTCTAAGGTTTCGGAATACTTAAGGACTTCATACATTACATACGTTAAAACTTGCTATAATGTCTGATTATACTTAAATATAACGTACACATTTTTAACGTACAGTTGATTATAAGATTTAGTAAGTACATTCCCGCCTTCAAAAGACCTAAAGAAAAGCTCACTTAAAAGCAACCTATAATATGTACGTTAAACCTTATTACATAAATATAACGTACACCCTTTCACCAAACACTTAATTATAAGAACTGTGTTCTCTTCTAAGGTTTCGGAATACTTAAGGACTTCATATATTACATACGTTAAAACTTGCTATAATGTCTGTTTATACTTAAATATAACGTACACATTTTTAACGTACACTTGATTATAAGATTTAGTAAGTACATTCTCGCCTTCTAAAGACCTAAAGAAAGCAACCTATAATATGTACGTAAAACCTTATTACATTATAGTCTAAATATAACGTACATATTATTTGAAACAATTTAACCATATTATTACCGTTTTAAAACGTACTGCTAATACAACACACCAATTTCAATGACTCAAATTATATTTGTGTCAAGAGTATTCCTGTTTATTCATTGGTTTCCTTTTTAAGGGAACGACGACGTTCAATTTTTATTTTAAACGTTATACTAAAACATCCCCGCCTTCTAGCTCCAGCTTTCGCTGCTCGGCCCAATTTTTCATCTCGCTCCGTTCCCTATCAGGTTCCAGATAAATACCACCACACCCGGCCACGACCAATTTATAAAAAAACCGGCGTACTCGGTGATGTCCTTGTTATCCCTCCTGGGAGACAGGCATCTCCAGGAGGAGGCGACGCCGTCCGATCCCCTGTTAACCGCCGTAGCGACGCGTCGCGGGCGGAGAAGACAGTCATTTGTTTCCGTCATCTTGGCCTATGGAAACGAGACTAGATCTGATGAGGAAGCCGTGGAACTGATCAACGTTACGCTTGGGAATATCCCGGAAGGAAGAGAGTGGAAGTTCCTTGTGTATCAACTGGATAACGTCAGGACCAACCCTTACCAGGTGTGGAAGGGCTTCGGAAGGCCCGTGTTTCCCGACAGGTACCAGAGGAGGAAGATGAGGGAGGTGGAGGTGAGTAGGCACCATCGATTTTTGAATTGAGATTTAAATAAATATTACCAAATAAATTTCAGGAAAATCTTTTGGAATATTTCTAATAAGATAGATCGTTAATGAATGAAATAAATTAAACTGGCTCAAGGTTAGATCCTTGAGGTATATTGAAAGTAGTTGAGATATTTAGGATTTAAAACTATTGTATGAATAGATACAGAGTCATATGTCACTAAAACAAAAATGATCGAGATTTTTGTATGTATCATATACAGGGTGTGACATTTTAATCTATGCACACCAATTTCTCGTTATCTAAGCCAGATATGGAAAAATGGTTCAGATAAAAATGCTTCAGACAAAAATTGTCCAGGACAATGGGGGTTTAACTAGCTTTGACCTTGAGATTAATTTTCAAAGTCATTTGTAGGTCACTGTTTTTTTAAATAAGAACCCCTATTTTCGACACCGGATTGGAAATGAGCGGGAAATTTTACGTCCGAAATGATATTTTCAAGTTTGTTTTCGTGACCTTGAGAAGGTCCATTCAAGGTTAAATGTTAAAAACTGCCTGTATAGCTGTTTGTTTTCTGGCGGACAGAACGTTGTGAAGGTACCTTTATAAGAAATATCGAACTCAAATGTGGCAACGATCTTTACAGTGTTGACCTTGAGGTCATTTTCAAGGTCACTTGAATGTCAGGGTGTTTTTTTAATGGAAAACATTGTTTTTGTCACTGGATTAACAAAAGTGAAAAATTTAACGTCATAAATGATATTCTAATTGCAGTTATTCAGACCTTGAGAAGGTCAAATGTCGGAAATTTGCTTGCTAGCAGTCTATTTAATTTTTTGGGCAGGTTTAACGTTGTGAAGGTACCTTTAAAAGGTAGATCAAACTCAAATTTGACAACGACCTTGATCTTGAGGTCATTTTTCAAGGGCATTTGAAGGTGACGGTGTTTTTTGATCTTGAATTGACATTTTTGAGGAAAGAAACTTGAAAATATCATTTCGGAAGTCAAATTTCCCGCTCGTTTCGAATCCGATGTCAAAAATAGGGGATCCTATTTAAAAAAAATACTGACCTACAAATGAATACTGCTAGGAAACACCCCGTCCATTTCCAATTTATATAAAAGTAATCCCTCAAATCCAGCAATTTCGTCTTTTATAGGAACCCCGAAGCCTGAACGTCCCAACTACTATAAAGGGCCCAACTTTGAATCTCTCTTTAAAACTAACCATCCCCAGCGTACATCTCATAAATATGTGCGCCAGGCCGAAGAAATTTCCAAGAACCGTTCATTCTGTGACTATTTTTAATGTAACCTGGAACGAAGTTCTCGTCACGTGGAAATATAAGGGAAAATACGCTAAGTAAGTGGATTAAATACACTTAAAGGTTGGTTTACGCTTTTAAAGGCCGGTTTACACGCACACGACAAAAGTCGCACGACTGACACTGTAATTATGTGAAAAATCCGATCAGTTTTATTTGATCCACTGGATAATCGTACCTTTGATCAAGTAAAAGCGATTCTAATTTTTTGCGCGAAGTGTATATGCTGAAACTCACTAATTATTGCTGTTCCAGCTGCTTACGCACGTTCGAAGTTGAGAATCAATCAAAGTGTGCGGGGACCCGGCGACGTTTCACGAGGATCAATCCAAGTGACACGATTTTCATGTCGTTTCATCACGTAGGCAAAGGTAAATAACAAATGAAGTCATTAATTCAAAATGAAACACTTCCCCTCAGGGAGAGACTGAAATGAGAGTAGGATTTGTGATTTACGGGATTATATAACGAAAGAACTTTTACTCTGGCTAACGAAACATTTATTAGCCGAAAAACAAAGGAACGAAGATTTTTTTAACTAAAAACATGTACGCTTTGATATAATTTTATGTAATTGCAATATCTTTTTGTTAAATAATACTATTTGTTGGCCTTACTTTAAGGATATTGCCATATGTTTGGGAACGAGCAGGCAGAGTTCTCCGTTGGGGGAGCTGTCTTTGGCTGTAATTGAATAAGATCCGGAAAAAACATCCCTAATACCCCACCCCAGTCATTCCCCAGCCTCCTTTGGTCGTTGTATACAAAATAAATATCCGCAATTCAAAAGGAATCCTCTACACCCCCTTTACCTCATCCATTTATAGCCCATATAAAATTATTCCCGACGTGGATCAATTTTCTCTATTTATTTGCGAATTCCCTCTTACAAACCTGGGACACCCACATTGCGGCTTCGGGAATCCAGAGTCGAACCACTCGAAACAGTCCCAAAGGCAGTAATATTAAAATTAAATCGCTTAATCGTTTTATTTTGGCTCTTGTTTGGGACAATAACTATGAAACACGTTTTTGGAATCAGATCTAGCACCACCTCTACCCCTTGATCTGTTCCTTTTCATATTGTTTCCGCAGTAAGCTACTCCTTTTATTTGCCACTCTTGAATATCCTCCATCCATACCATATTGGACTTAATCTGCTGCAAATATTCCTTTGGGAAGTAGTTGTTGACGATAAAATTGGCTAAACCCATTTCTTTAGCTAGGGACTTATTCGTGTGTAAAAGCGTACTAATCTCGTTCTGATACTCGTTCTCTTTCTTCAGAAGAATATCCTCAGCTTTAACAATCAACTTCTCCGTTTCCTCGATCTTCCTATCCAACTCCTTGTCTTCTTCTTGAAGACTTACATATTGCTTTTCCACTATGTTCTTCTCTTGCCCTTTGAAGTGCAGTATCTCTTTTAACAATTGATGAGAGCTGTCCAGATGTTCCAATTCTTTAGCCGTATCTTCTATGAGTTCCATCTGCTGCTGCGCCTTTTCAAACAGGTTCTCCCCGCCCACCAAAATCTTCTTCTGGATAACTTGAATTTTGTTCTCCAATATACCCTTCTCCATTTCGATTTCCTCCAGTTCCTCACTGTTGATCGACGTCTTGCTTTTCTTCCTCTTCCTCTTGGCTTGTTTTTGTTCCTCCAACAGTAAGGCTTCGAGTTGTTTCTGCAAGTCTGAAATCTTCTGCTCGAACGTTTCTATGACGCTTCTCTTCTCAACGTTCACGCTGAGGTAGTTCTGTATATGCCTGACTCTATCAGCGTACATCAACGTGTAGAGACTTTCTTCGTAATCCAAGCGATTAGGGCTTATCGTAGCTATCATGGCTGTCAGAGAGTTGCCTCCCAAGGAATCCTGTAACAACCTAGTGAGTTTGGAGTTCCTATAAGGAACGTGCGTCGCTTTGCCGTCTATAAGAGCTGATATGACGTTTCCGAGCACCGAAAGCGACAGATTGATTTTCCCCGCCTCTTTAAGCCTGTCTCCTGTAGCCAGAGTCTTGTTGACCCTCTCGGATCCAGCCAGGTCTACTAGATTTAGTTTCCCGAAAGTCGTTTTGTTGTTGACTTTGTTCTTGGACTCGACCAGGATGGTGAAGATGGCGTGGGACCTAGAACTGGTGTCGTTTAGCTTTGTGGAACCTGTAGCTCTGTTCTTATTGCCTTTAAACAAAATTTCGGTCACACCTTCTAGGGAATCAACTGTAAACCCCAAGAGATCCTTTACATATACACCCAGACCAGGTCTTTCGTGCACGGTCAGTTTTTTCTTTGGTGTTTCCGATAGGAGATCTCTTATTTCTTCGTTGTAGATTTCTAGGAAGGTGACTGTGACGACGTAGGATACGTCTTTGTTAGACAGGCTTATCTGCGCGAAAATGTGGGAAAATATGTTAGGTATTATACCTTTGAACTCGGAATCCCTTATGTCCCCTATCATAGTATACGTTTTTCCACTGCCTGATTGGCCATAAGCAAATATGGTTCCGTTGTAACCCTTGAGGACTTTCTCTACAATCGGTACGGCCACTGAGCGGTACAGCTCTATTTGACTGCTGTCCTGGTCGAAGACTTTACAGAACTTGAAGGTTTTGGCGGTGTATCCCTTTGAGATGATTATGGTGTTTTTATTCACACATACTAAGTCTTCTTCCTTGACTTCTCCAGAATCTGTTACTGGACGAACTCGTATGAAGACCCTGACATTCTCCACGTTGTTAACTGGTTCATTCTCATCAGTTAACATTTTGTATATAGTTAATTAAAAAATATCTGACAAGAATGTCAATATTGACGGTTCATATTGAGATTGAGAATTAATTTTATCTGCTCCCACTATAGTAAATAGACTATTAGTACCTTGTTTTTGAGGAGGTAAGTGGATTTTACCGTAGAAGTTGCTATGGACAACGGGAGCTAAGTAAAGTAATCTACCTCGCTAGGGAAAAAAAGCGATTTCGAGTTATAAATGAATATTTTATAATCAAATAAATATAAATTTGATGAACATTACATTTTATTAATTATTATGAATGAATATTTATAGTAATTGTATAGTCCCCGGAGGCTCAATATTATCTGACTGATCCATTAAAACAGCATGATGCGACGTACTACTAGAATCTGGAGTTGAAGTGTCATTGTAAAGAATCCTGTTAGCTATATCATTTTTGTTACATAAACTGTCAGCAACATAACTTTCTGCAATTGTGGCTGATTTCCACCCGCCATGTCTCTTGATTGGTAATACATCAACTCCTGTATTCGCCAGTAACGTTGCCGATGTTCTTCGGAATGAATGGCCTGTATATGTTTCAGGATGTTCTAGTTTCATGAATTGTGGAATCTTATTAGGAATCATAGAAAGGGTATTCTTGCCGACTGGTTGGTTGTAACATCTACGCGCTTGATAGCGTAATCGTTGACTTGTTCGTCCTCAACTGGTAAATAATACTTACCCCCTTTATGGTGTAAATAACTATCTACATTTTACTCTAATTTACGGGGGAGGGGATGGCATATTGGTATTCCGCATAGCAAAAGTTGAGAGAGCCATTTTTCTGTGGCCATTATTAAATTACACTATTCCTTTCCCCAGTAACATTTTATATCAAAGAAACCCATTAGTGGGAGCTCGCAATTACTGTTAGCCGTGTGGAAAAATATCGCAAAGTTAGAGAAACCATTTCCCCAGACATCTTAAATTTACAAATTAGTTAAAACGACCGAGGAGAGCCTGACGATCGTTTTACTCAGAAAAATCTTTTAAGACGCAATTCCTTTGACGCATTAACCGGCGAATTTAAGGAGGAATCGCGGATAGTCCAGTAAGAAACCGCCATTTTTAACACGCGGTAAGAAAATACTTGTTTTAAAATCGCTACCCTCATTATTAATCTCATTTGGTTGTTGCTTTTGCTCAAAGAAGTGATTTCGTGATCACTTGAAAATATGAACACGTCTTTCTCACTTGCACGCATATGAGAAGAAAAGAAACGCCTAAGTTGGAAACTGACAAATCGATAACTGGAACTACGCAACCCTGATTGTTTTTCTTTTTTGTACACGACAAGCAAGCCCTAAGTGAAATGAATTGCCTACTATTTTGGCACTGGGGCATATAATACTAATACGCCACCCCTTCTCCCACACATTATTACAAAATATAGGTCAATTTGTACGGTAATCGCACCTGTGGTTCTTGCACGATATTTCGAGACGACGTACCCCTACGCCGTCAATATTTAAGCCCCGGCTAAGCCGCTGTAAAGTAAGTGCAGTTTATTTTACGATCCTGTTTCATTCCAGCCGATCGCGCCTGCGAGCGGACCCGAGGCGACTACCGAGTGCGAGCCACCGACTACTGGGATCGTTCTGGAGCGTACTCCGGAATAATTTCCTATCCCTAAAGTGCAGCATAAAATCTGAACGGGTGCAAGTTTGGAGCAGGTCGAGCGTAAGCGTGCGGCTTCATGACTGGATTAGGCAATTTAGTGGTTTATTGGAACTGGTAGATTAGGTCAGTGGCGGGGCGGAAAGGAATCTTTTTAAAACATGTTAGAAATTTAATAAAAAATAATTAAAACAATTTGTGGAATAAATGTTTTCTTTCTAACCAATAGAGTAACGTTTTTAAGGCTGAAACATATATTTTGTTACTGACTGTTGGGTTTTTTTACCCCATTTTAAACGTATCAAGCTAATTCAAACGAATACAAAAACATTTCTTGAATCACCACTTCTGCCGAACAAATCAGAAGTGGGATAAAAACGACTTCCTCGAGCAAAAATCAGAAGTGGGATAAAAAACCTTCTCTCTCCTGTCCCTGTATCATATTGTCCCTAATTTTGTCACGCGGTGTAGTTTCGCCGCGAAGACGTTACTTTTCCTGCTCTTAGAGCCGCCGCCGCCGCCTTCTAATGCTCAATATGCCAATGTGGTCCCTTTGAAGAAAACTGCTTTATGAATATGCAGCGAAACAGCGCAGCTCGTGAGCCTTAATAAGACCAAAACGACGGTAAACAAACAACCCGGGGGCCAAGGTTTCCAAGGAACCTCCCAGGAATAATTTATGACCCACCTGAGCTGGCCAAGACCATATACAGGGTACCCGAAAGACGTAAGACATAACTTTTTCAAATTATACAGTTTCATTATTATTTAGGCCAATGGGTCGAGGTTAAGGATCAAAGACCGGAAGTTATTATTTTAGAGAAAAGAGAAAAATTATATAAACTAGAATTATGTTTCGACTTTTCAGTTCTTTCGTCCCCCCATGTTTGCTGAGGCAGTTTAGCGTTTAGTAAGCAATAAAACAATAGCTATTTATATCTCCCGATTAGGCAGTTTGGTTAAATTCCCTCGTGACCTACGCAAAATCGTCGTTCCCTTTCCGTGACTGTGTCGCGGGAGCGAACGCCGTTCTCCCTAGCCCTCCCCCTTATTATGATTACCGTGAAAGACATTTGAATGCAAAACTCCTCCCCAAACAGCAAGCGGAAACCCACCTGTCCCATAAACATGAACTTCCTAAATATTGTATCCGGTTTTCGACGTAACATTATGCGTTTTTTGCGTTACGCAGGACCGTTCTGCCCTGATGTTTATTAGCGGCGACAAATTGTTTATTAGTTAATAAAATTCGCGATGCCTGGAGACCGGCACGGTTTACTTGTTATTAAATATGGAAATGATGGTAGGGGGCTGTAAATCAACGAAAAAAAAAACCGTTTGTAATGACGTCAGCGTTAACAAAACACTATTGTAGTCAATATATGAGGCAGTCATTTAATATTTTTTTGGTGTCTCTGTAGACAATGACAAATAAGATCTTGCATAATGAATTAATGTAATTATGGGCCTAGAACTGATCCTTGCGACTTCACTGATGTATGAGGCTATGGAAATAACTGTATTCGTCCACGCTCTGTTATGCTTTGTCATAATTATGAGATTAATAAACAAAATAAACGACTGTAGGCCCGAAATTGGACCTTGTGGTGCACCGAAAATACTAAACTACAGAAAATTTACTTCCAACAGTGATTTTCTTGTAAAGTGACTGCAGCGTTATCACCATGGCTTTTTTTGCCATGAACGACCCTGTATAAGCGGGTGACCATTATTTATTTACCGGGTTAGAAAGTTTCAGGGCAAAAGACGGGCGCAAATTTACGGGGCAGGGAATTTTTTAATAACGTGCGCCCGACCGCCTCATTCCTGAAAAAGTTATGTCGCGGTAAAATTAGACTTTGGTCCCGCAGTTTCGGGATGTTGAAATATGAATAACCAAGGCTGATGAAATTCACAAAAACGCCGATAATAACGAGGCCGAATTTTTTATATCAAGTCGGTTTAATTAAACTACATTCAGTTTGGGGATATACAAAAAAAAAGGAATACGAAACGGGTAAAGAAAAAATAAAAAATACATATAATAAAAAGAGTATCAAAACACACCGAAATAAAAATAAAACGAAATCTACAAAATAGAGAACATAAAGCAGTTATAAAATAATGATGGCCCTAAAACTGATCCCTGGAGGACTCCAGAGTATGTTTTTACTTCCACTGTTGTTCCATTTAAGCCCCAACAAAAAGCTTGTCTGTGCATCAGGCGCCAGATAAGAGCAAGTCACGGCAGAAATTAAAAATTGTCTAGCCCGACGTGACGCAGTATGTATTCGAGCGGGTCAAATTTCAGCAGCCGAACAAAGCATGTTACTCCCACATTTTTTGACATGGATCTGGCCCATTCAACAATTCATTCCCACCGACATGCGACAGCATAAAAAGGAAATACCTACATCGCCCTTCGTCCATTACTGTTCGGTATTGTCGCGAAAAAAATGACATGTTCTAGACTTCTAGACCGAGAAAAGTTTTCTTTTGAAATCAATAACTATGTACAATCAAGTAAATTATAGAAGAATTAAAATGACAATGCAAAATTGATCAAACTGTGTAAATCCTGCGCCACCTCAGTTGTTTCTTTTTCCCCCTTCCTTTCCCCTGCGCTTTTTCGTGGGGTGTACGTACCCCGCATCAATCATTTCGTATTATTGCCCGTGACAAGTTGATAACATATTTCTTTGCGCCATTACCGAAGACAGAAAATAAATCAAAGCCAACCGAACGGTCGAATCCTAACCGAAAAACGCGCAACTTATGGATGTCCCGAACGTCCCCTCCTCTGGGGAAACTCATTTATCAACTGCCGCAGACTCGGGAGGTGGCTAACAAATCAAATAATGTCCACTTGCACTGTATACGTCGACACAATAACGCGCGGGGTTTCTTGGACGGGTTTAATCCAGTTTTTCACACGCTGCAATTAAACGAGACTAAAACAAAGCTAAGCAATCGTATAAAGTCGACTAAGGCACGAAGAATTGCTGAGAAAATAGTTGGGAAACTATGTCAAATGATGAAATCATGCACGACGACTGTGTAAAATTGATAATTTTATGCAAAATTGATCTTATTATGTAAAATTTATCATTTCATGTAAAATTGATCGTATTATGTAAAATTGATCATATTATGTAAAATTGATAGTATTGTGTAAAATTGATCATTTTATGTAAAATTGATCGTATTATGTAAAATTGATCATTTTATGTAAAATTGATTAAACCTTGTAAAAGTAACGTACATGCAATAAAAATTTTTTTTCCAATGACAAATACGTAACTTGAATTGAAAAGAATTATTGCGCATCCTTAATAATTTTTTCTAGTAAAATAACTTCTAAATTTGGTACAGGTAGATATAAATGAAAACGTCTGTCAAACTCCATCTCAATCACGTAAAAAATTCACGTACAAATTAGTTTACTTCTATTTTTACATACTCGAAACACACACGAGTTTCGTCGCAGCAGGCCCATTAAATTCAGCGAGGGAATAACCGCGCGGGGCAAAAAACTCATCAAGCGGAAAGCATTCCGAATTTTATTATGTAATTTTTGCGGTCCCACTCTTCGTATCGGCGATATCAATCATCGGGATGAGATAACACTCGACCCCTTGTTGATCTTTTCATCCCCGACATACCTCATTTTTGGGACGCGGGCGGTCCTCGCTTTTTTACGTCCCGACGCTGCGTGGGCGCGCGATTATGAGCGTGACGCCCCGTCACGAGACAGGACCGGACGACGTCTTGCTGGAACTTCGGAGGCGATAATATGTCAAAAGCTAATAGTTTTCATTTACAGTAAGGTGAAATTTACTAAATTGCATTGCACGAAACTAACCAATTATAATAAAATTATGTAAAATTGATATAAAACTCAAAATCGTGCAAACATTGTTGAAATTTGAACAGATTTGTGTAAAATTGATCAAATTATGTAAAATTGATTAAGTTGTGTAAAATCGATCAAATGTAAAATTGATTACTATGTAAGTAAAATAAATAAATTTTATAACATTTTAAATCGTTCACATATTATTTAAACTTGATCAAGTTGTGTAAAATTGATCAAATTATGTAAAATTGATTAAGTTGTGTAATATCGAGCAAACGGTAGAATTGATTACTATGTAAGTAAAATAAATACATTTTATGAAATTTTAAATCGTTCACATATTGTCTAAACTTGATCAAGTTGTGTAAAATTGATCAAATTATGTAAAGTTGATTAAGTTGTGTGAAATCGATTAAACTGTGAAATTGATCACTATGTAAATAAAATAAATACATCTTATAAAATTTTAAATCGTTCACGTATTATTTAAACTTGATCAAGTTGTGTAATATGTATTGATCAGTATGTGTAAAGTGATTAAAATAAACTGAAAATCGTGCAAAAATTATTCGAACTTGTTCGTTGTGTACAATTGATCAAGCTGTGTAAAATTGATCAAACACCAATTATGTATAATTGATCAACTAATTAATTAATAAACTGATTGATTATGATAAGTAACGATTTCCTTTTGTAATAATTACAGAACCAGAAGCAGTCCCGCAATTATAACCGAGAACCACCTGGGTGTAATCCTCAGTTGTCCTGCTAAAATATCTATCAGCTTTTTGGTTGGAATAAGGAACGAATTACCGTGGGATTATTGGATTAGTAGGGTCCAAACCGAGACCAGATAGCAATTATTATGTCGTATACGTTTCACATAAAACAACCAACCCCTGCAGAACTTCTTGGGGGCATATATTTGCGGACTACCGACGTGAAGATCTGTATTCCTGCACTTTCCGTGAATACAGGGGCTCGTAAGTAAATAGTAATAATTTTCTCTAGCTGGCTTTTTCCCATAAGTTAGAATAAGTGCCCCACAAACATATTTCGGGAACATAACACCACTCGAGTGGAAGAGTATTACCAGGGCTCTTCCTTATTTTAATATAAATAACTTTGTTAAGTTTATCAAGGCGGGCGCTGAAATGCGGATTAATGAACTGGGATAAAGACGCTGTCCTCGCCGAAAACTTAGGTAAGTGGCCTAATTAAGGCCTATGAGAACGAGGGACAGGACGGGCAAT